TGAATGCAAATTTTACATTAAATGATCAATTTTAATTATTTAATTCATGAGAGCAAAATTAACATTAAACAATTATTGCAAACTGTGGATTGTTGTTAATAGTTTACCAACAATGTACTGCTCTCAAAGGGTTTATAATAACAATAATAATAATGTACATTCATTATCATTATTATTATAATCGCTGTGCTGATACAGTACAGTCGAACCTCTAAATAACGGCCACTAACTGGAACGTAACCTTCAAACAGCGACCATTTTTTTAATTTTATTTTATACACATTTCATGTCCCTGAAGAAAATGGCCGTCGTTTAGAGGTGGTCATTATGGTGGGTTCGATTGTTGTATTAGGTCTATTATACTAGTTTTTGTTTTATTATTGTAGTTAACAAGACTTTAATACTTTTAATACTATAGTAGTAGTATCATTAATTCCGGCATATTGTTTTTAATGAGAGTTATAATACTACTACAACAATAACTGAGTGATTTTATTACAAAGTATATTTGGGTCTTACTGTAGTAGTATTGTATCTAGTTCCTATCAGTGTAATAGTTTTATATTATTCACAGCTTTTACTATTAGAATGGTCTGTATACAAGTTACTTTCATTACTATAGAAGCATCATTAGTCTACCGCTTACTGTAGCACCATTAATCTACAGTAGTAGCATTATGTTGTTCATATTAGTGTAGTAGTCTCATTGTAGTAACATTTTACTGCTATAACAACAATATTAATTTCTTTATTAAGGTAATGTATCATTATCAACTTACAAGAAAATTATTAGTATTATAGCAACATCATTGTTATAATTAATACAGTAGACCCCCCTATAACACTGTTGATAATTCCGTTTTATATGAATTCCATGTTGTACGAGTCACTTAGATTTTACAAATACGTGTGCCGGGCTGTGAACGGCTCACGTATTTGTAAAATCTAAATGACTCGTACAACACGGAATTCATATAAAACGGAATTATCAACAGTGTTATGGGGGAACTACTGTTATGTCAACAGTGTTATGGGGGTAGCGTTAAGGTCAAGATCAAGTTAATTTTAACCTTATAGTAGTATCCTTATATATATTACACTGTTTATAAGGAAACTATTAGCAATCGTAACTTACTTTTAATGTTATAATAGTATTGTTTGGTATAATTACTGACGATTTCATAATGGCTCTATAATACTATAGTAGTATCAATATTAACTTTCAAATAAAGAAAATTAGTTTTAAATTGATTTTATTATCAGTATCTTTTATTATTATTATCAGTATTAAATTGTATAATTTTAATACCTGAGTAGCATATTTATCAGAGGAGAAGCTCAAAAACTTTTCCACTTCTCATACTTCTGTAGTAACAATTTCTAGATGCTGGGGTCCATTTTAAAGGTTACTCTCGCATTTCTTCGTTGAAGAATTAATTAAAAATATATAATTTGAGTTTTTTTTAAACTTTAATTAAAATTTTAATGGCGAATCAACGTTTTCTTTCTCTAATAATACAACAATTCCTCGATTGTACTTTGTACGTAGGGCGTAATTTACCTTCGTATTTAACTGGCGCACGTTCTTAAGTTACCAATTATCATGGGGATGCCAACATCTTATCACTTTATTGACTGCCATTACTTGAGTAGAAGGGAGAATTTCTATCAAATTGAATGCTACTAGAGTAATAAAATCGTTGGAGGGATATATACAGGGATGATAAGAAAGTATAGTAACAAAGGGGAGTCTGTTCTGCTCGAAGTAGTTCACGTTACACGCTCACAATCGACCAACAGTTGCACATTTGCTTGTTGTTACGCAAGAAGTCGTTTTACGAAATCTCCTATTGATCTACGTTTAAATCTGTTTAAAGGTAACTATGACGACAGTGGTTGGGTAAGTGTAGTAGCATTCAGTATCGATCGTTTAATTGATGTATAATTAACAATGTGTTACGACTTTTCGGGAGGGTATTTTCAATTAATTTGTTACGTATAAATTAATTGGTGGTGCTACCTCATTTCTTCAGTTTCGGTTCAATTTTTGTAGTATTATAATGTTATCTGGATAACAATAGTATGTCTACAAGGGTTCTGCACAGTATTGAAGGGGTACAGTGTAAGGCTACCTTATATAGGATTGAACGAATGATATTCTATACGGTTGTATTGAACACTACCATATTAATGGGATTTCTATAGGGTTGAAGGATATCTGTAAGGATTCCACGCTGTAATAACAGGATTTCTGTAGGATTTAGTAACTAACCTGTGTTGAAGATACGTTTATTACATCGAGTAATTTAGGATTCCTATAAGGTTAAATAGATGCCGTGTAACCCTATTGTGCTGTAGATGATTCTGATAATGGGAGAAGGGGTGAATTACTAACAATTGTTGCGTTAATTGTCACGGATAGGTTGTTAAATCAGCTTTAAGTTAGAGGAAATGAAATTTGGGAAGACAGCAAGGTAACAAAATTAGTTTCTTTTGTCTGAAATAGGAGGAATAACGTACAATGTATTGTATCAGCTTCATAAATTTTTCAAGTTGTTTATCATAAGCAGTATTTTTCATGTATACACCCGGGATATGCATATTAAAGTAAGTTGTCTGTCTGATAAGAGAAGTACAGGTTGTATAAGGTATGTGAACTTCTCCTGTTTGCTACATCATATATTCGTTCTAAATATTATTAAAAAGACAGAAATAAATGAGTAAAACTTTAAATCTATCATTTTATACAAGTATATACGACAGTATAAGACGATTAAACCAAACTTTCCAACCTTTTACAGCTATCGAGCATAGTACAAGACGTTTGGTCGATCGCGACCTACCGTTTCAGAAGTTGTATAATAGAGAACATCATTGATCTCGAAATTCAGAGAATTTTCAAGAAGATTAAAGAAATGTAAACAAGAAAGGACGAAAGGATCGGTTAAAATATAAAATAATATTTATTTAGTCAGCGCAGGTACAACATGTTTGCATGGTGTTTACTTAAAATGATTTCCAAGGAAACTAACCAAGGACAACGAGTAATATTATAAAACCAATAGAACTGAATGGGGGTAGAAGTCGAAACTTATTGACTCTAATCTCAATTATCGAAAGGAAGAGAGCGATTTTTGTTTCAGGATGTCATTCTGTATCAGAACCATTATTATTATTATTATTTTTTATTATTATATTTTTTTTTATCTTTGAAAGCGAAGGTTGGAATTTGTCCATAACCCTGTTTTATACGTAATGAGGATGTGTTACATACTCAATTATTCGTGGGAAGTACCTCATTCAAATTACAAATTCATTTTTCCTACTTTCACCCCTTTATTAAATTATTTTTCTTAAGATTTTTATCAGGAGTGTTCGTGTTTTATCTCTCTTTTTCCAACGTTTCTTGAATAGTTTATTATGTAAAAATATAGGAAGATTGTTGAACACGTTTAACGGGGGGTGGAAGTTAGATTTTTCGTGACGAATTTTTGATCGAATTTTTTTTTTCTTGTTCCTCCCCCCTATAAAAATTGAAGAAAAAAAATATATATGTATAATGGCAAGAATTGTTATTACATGTTTAAATTCTTCATCTTTTTTTATTGTGTATGTGGAGTGAGGGGGGGTCGTTCCGTCAGGATGATAAATTTCTCTATTGTTGTTTTGTGTATGGGAAGTAAGGCAAATGGGAGTTTAAAGCAGTTGAAACAGCAGTTCACGTGACTTCCATTTGCGTAATGATGTTAAGAGTGACCTTATCGTGATTACGAGGAAGGTTGCATGATTAAAAATTGCAAAACGCTTCTGAATAATTAAATTATGCGGTTAACGAGTTTGCATACTTAACTTAAATCTTTCTGGTTTAGATAATAGCTCTAGTGATTTTAAAATAATAATAAAATAAAGCCTAAAATTCAGGGAAGACGAGAGATGGAAGCGGAGGAGGGAGGCCGGCGAAAGGCGTCACGTGACTGAAGTAGATAATGCCGCGTTAGGGGAAATTTTAAATTAGTTCGTGCGAGATTCTTACCGAAATAGGAAGCGAGACAAATAAAAAAAAAAGGCAGTTTTAAAGTTACATCACGTGTCTAAAATTCGAAAATTTCCAACCGCGAAGGGGGATTCCGCGTGATTGAAATGCGAAAGAATTGTAACGGGGAGCGCAAGATCGTGTGACTTCATTGGCGATCGCACAACAGGAAATGCAGAACTAAAAGGAAATGATACATTAATACCCGTTACGGATGCGTAAAAATGAATGCTTAAGCAATTCACGTACAGCTGAATTAATCATAATTAAGTTATCACTAAGTTTGAACCCCTTTTATCGGATATAAAAGATCGGATATATAACGTCTTTCATATCCCTATAAAATGAATGCTGTTAAGGTGAGCAGAATTCCAAACATTCCTAAAATACAGCGCCTGTAAGAGATGTAAGGAGAGAAGAGTCAAAGTTCATCATACTGTCGACAATCCATTTGGCCATCTCCCGTACCATTAATCATTGCTTCTCACAATAGCGCAACTTTCTCATCACCTCCGAAAGCCTAGAAGGAGAAGAACATCAAGCAAGTGCAAACTTTCGCTATCTATTATCTTCTAAAACAGATAATAGGTGAATACTAGATAATTGCTTAAGCCATTAACCATTAATTACTTATCCTGGTCGAAGGTTAAGTCCGCTCAAAACTCATCCTCTCTTAAAAATTCATTCAAATTATATAATATAAACCAACAGTTGCACATTTGCTTGTTGTTACGCAAGAAGTCGTTTTACGAAATCTCCTATTGATCTACGTTTAAATCTGTTTAAAGGTAACTATGACGACNTTTTAATAATAACAGCTCTGAATTTGATTTAAATTTTCACGCTAAATTTGAATTTTGTGCTACATTTGGGCGATGAAATATTTATTTTTAATTGTTACAAAATATAAGAGACGCCTCTAACGGTCAAATTTTTAATTAAATTTAAATTTTCAAATTTAAATTTAACGGTTCCACGTGGAATTTAACGGTTCGAACTACAAAACAGAACTATTTGATGCAAATTATAATAAATTTTAGTTAATTATGATTTAACATTTTATATAATTAAAAGTAGGATAGTTAATTTCATTAAGATCAAACACATACACGAGTTTAGAGATGCTAAAAAAAGAAAAAAAAATGGCGGGTCGCTAAATTAGTTCCACAAATTTTATAGTCTAACAGAAGAGATTTTTATGGTACGTTTTATACTTTAAGAAAGATAATTTCGGTTTTGTTTTATGGCTAAAGGGCCTCTTGGGCCAAACTTAAAGGAGAAGATGAGATATGGTCGCTAACATATAAATTATATTGTAGTATTGGAGAAGAGGATGTAAATGTGATTCGAAGAAAGTTTTTATCTTTTAATACAGTCAAAAGGGTGCTGTAAATGATTATCGAGCGGGATATTTTAAGTATTTTTTAAATAATTAACGATGATAATTGATTTAGAAAGTTTGCCTTTTGGTCATTTTACTCCTCTCATACATTTTAAATTTGCACTTTCGGATTTTTATGGTAATTTATTTTACACTCATTTTTTTCTTAATTTAGATATTAAGTTACTTATAAAGCCTTTCCCCTTTTTGGTTCCATAAGTGGTGTGTGTGGTGCTTTAAGCCTGGTACACACGTACAGGTATGCCTGAACATGTGGATGTATTTATTGTGGACTCTATTTATATATAATAGAGGGGAAAGTATGGCAATCGGTAAACAAATGACCCCCAAGATTTTTGGACTCGTCAAGAAATGCAAAAAAATTTGGGTTTTTTTTCTGTGTGAATGTTAGTGTGCGTGGGAGGAGCACGATTTTGTTCACCCTCTTTAAAGCTTAATAATTCCCGTGCTTTAGGTCGAAACTTTTTATGACAGATGGAGCCACACGCGGTTTTAAATGTTGCCGGGAAAGTTGCGCAACTCGTTGCTGAAGGTTTTGATTTTATGAATTTTTGTAAAAATCATACTATATCTGCACGCTATGAAATGTATGCCATTTAGGCATTTAATCCACAGAGTTTTCCAAGATTTCTTCATTTGAATAGGGGCCAATTATCCATAGAAAGTCCTTGAGATGAACACTTTTGGCCAATGTGTTTCATTGCGTAAGTGATCAAAACAAAACTTACGCTACGAGAATTTCTAGACAATAGAACACCTTTAGAAGAAATTTCTTGGAGACAATAGCAACTTTACAAACTCTTTGCTTTCGCAGAAGTCAAGAAAAACTCTCTGAACTCCTTCCTAACGCGATACCAAGGCTCTTCTTGTACCAGAATCCACAATATTAATCCCCACCGTGTCGAATTTCTGAACCGTTTTATTGGGATTGTCGTACAAACATGTTGATTATAAGAATATTCTTGTAATTATTGTTTTAAAATAATTAAAAATGTTCTTTTTTTTATATTCCAGATGGATGTCTGCACTCACAGCAGTAATGTAGATGATGAGACTGGTGACCAGAATCCTTCTTCTTTTCTTTGCCCTTTCTCTAGTTTCTTTGATTTTTATTGGGAGATGCGGATTCAAGTTGGAAGAATTAGGAACCTCACAGACTTCGGTGCTAACAGAACTTGATGAACAGAATACGCCATCTTATGTCGAATTACTTCGTAGGAAAGACGAAGAATACAGAAGAGATACCGAGAAATTGCAAGAGCAGATAAACGAATTGAAGAGGAAGCTTCAAGAAGGCGTGAAACCGATACCTTTAGAAAGTAAATTTATTGAAGATCACGACGAGTGCACAGATTATATAAAGAAGCAAATAAATGCAGCGGAAATTCGCCATGGTGTTCAACTGAATAATGAGTATGAAGTGATACCTTTCAGTCATTTTACTTTCAGTAGAGTCTATCCAGTTTCTTTGGGATTAGGGAAAAGAGTTGTCGAAAAACCCATAGGTTACAAGAGGAAGGATCTTCTAGAAGTATTTGTCAGAGCTTTAGAAGTGATTAACAGAGGTAGGAAAGGAAAGCAACGTTATACAGTGGATGATTTTGTTGAGGGTATGTACAGAAACGAGCCAACAACGGGCACGCAGTATCATCTTTATTTCAAAGAGAAGAACGTTACGAAAGCTTATCATAGAGTGGTGCTGATGAGACCTTTTTCTACCGTTCAAACCATTTCTAACGAAGTGGTAAAGACATCGAGAGAGCTCATCAATATAATCCTTCCTCTTTCAGGAAGAATTGAAACATTTCGTAGCTTCATGGAAAAGTTCGTGAAGGTGTGTATCAAACACGACAAAAAAGTATTTTTGACTGTTGTATATTTTGGCCAGAAAGGACTTCAAGATGTTCGCATCATCCTGACTAAAGTGTCGAGAGAGACTCGCTTTCGTAATGTTAAATTACTGACCTTGAACGAAACGTTTTCTCGCGGGAAAGGCCTTCAATTAGGCGCACAACACTGGACGAAAGGTGACGTTCTACTCTTCATGTGCGACGTTGACATCATATTTTCAGCGAAATTCTTAGAAAGGTGCCGAATGAATGCCTCGCCGGGTAGGAAAGTGTATTATCCCATAGTCTTCAGCTTATATAATCCTTCGAACGTGTATAGTTTGCAAGGTAAAGTGATACCATCAGAAACAGAACAATTGGTGATCTCAAGAGACACTGGATTCTGGAGAGATTTCGGCTACGGAATGACTTGCCAATACCGCAGCGATTTCGTCAACATTAAAGGATTTGATGAAGAAATTGTCGGATGGGGAGGAGAAGATGTAATGCTATATCGTAAGTATGTTCGTAGCCATCTTACAGTTGTTAGGTCTACAGATCCAGGAATCTTTCACATCTGGCACGACAAAGAATGTGATCCTAAATTATCCGTAGAACAATACAGAGCCTGTTTAAGATCTAGAGCATTAAGTGAAGCATCGCATGCCCAATTAGGACTTTTAGCTTTTGGAGACGAGTTAAAGAAACATCAAGAAAGCTCTGTTGATAATTTCTCACAATCTGCGGGTTACAAAGACTCCTACAATGCGGTCGATGGATTATAAATTTACTATATTTTGTTTTTTAATTAATTTAAAATTTAGATAACCATATTAATTTATTAATTTGTAAATTCAAGTTTATTAAAATTCTCAAGAATATATTATTTGGGAGGTAAAGAATTTCTTTTTAGACGAGTATCTGTTCAATTTTAAAGATTTAAAGTTGCGATAAGTTACCTTTTCAGCAGCTATATTAGAATTTTATGGACGAATTACTCGAAGATGCTAAAGTACTTCATCTTTAAATCTAGGCGAATTGAAAAGATTTCTAGATGGAGAGAGGATTTTTCAACATGTTTCTAAAGGAATTTCACTTTAAATTGTGGACTTTTCACTTATAGAAAAGTCTTCTTTCTTAAAAAGTTAAGAAAAAGAAAAAAAAAAGAAAGAAATTGGAGTGGATCCAAACAACTTGATGAATCCTTATTACCAATTAAAGCTTCAATCATTCCACCTTAGATAATTGCTATAGAGCAAAGTATCACCCGAGAGCAATAATAACAATTAGAAACGACGACATGGGGGACATTAAAAAAACGTGCCATAACCCCAAAATAAATTACCCCGAAGAAAAAGAATTCCATATTTATTTTCGAAAGGTCATAGCAACCTTAGGAAATCCTGTTACAATATTTATGTTCTGGTGCTAGATAGAGGTCTTAAACGAAGCGTATCTGGGGAGCTATAAAGTTTACTTTGGTGTCAAACAGCCGTCAGATAATTTAATCTTGTAACAAGATGACTGCTAATGGTCTTGCATGTCTTGAGGGAATACTTTGTCTTCTTCTAGCTCTGACTAATGTTGCCAAACTGTCCAGACTCTTTAATCCGTTTAGAGAAAGTCTGGATAGAATCCAAAATTCTCTTTAAGATAGAAATGGTTTCAAATCATCTGCAACAATCTCTTCTTTAACGTAATTATTTATGAATTAACCATTATTAATTAATTCTTATCATCATATATAGCTAGTTATCAAATAGGAAATTGATTTATAAATTATGTAATTATCAATATCATCGATAAGTCTCGATATATGAAAAATTCTTCTTTTTTAACATTTGTAAATGGAATTTAATAATTTTTCTAAGAAACCGTGAGGAATTTTAAGCAAACTTTAAGAAAATATAAACATTTTTCGAAAAGAAGCGGTTAAATTGTAATCAATGTACCGAAATCTGTCAGATGACGAATCAGACTGATGGATATACGCATTTGCAAGTTGAGCAAAGCGTTTAAAATTGTATTATGGAAGTTTTTAAAGAGATTTGAATGCATTATGGAGGAGAAAAGTAAAATCCATCAATATACAGAAGAAGAATGAGGAAGTAAAAGGTAAAGTTGTGCAAAATAGTGTGTATAGCCCTTTCTCGATCAACAAGAAGATAAAAAAATAACAAAAGCCATTACCTGTGGATGACCATACATTATCCGGAGAGCTTTTCTTATTCTTTTAACGTGATCGCAAATACAATTGATGCACATCCACGCATCAGAATCTTCTATTGATTCTTTCCAATACATTCTACAGTTTGTCTTTCTATAGACTACATCTCCAAAGCTATTTTCTCTTTTATCTATGTACTTTTTCTTATTCTTTCTCTAACTGAAAACAAGTCGAACTTCTTCGAAGTTTATAAAATATGGTTTCAGTTTCTAAAAATATCGAGAAAACAATTTTCTTAAACTTCCCTCCTCCTTTTCTCTCTCTCCTCATCTTCCATTGATGCTGAAGAGATTGCGTCTAAACTCATTAACAGTATCACCTCGTTAATCAGCTAGAAAAATCTAAGATTTAAAAGTTATCTTTTCTCCACATTAATGATATTTTAAGTTAAAATTCTTCCTTTTTTAGTTGAGGGTCATTAATAATTGTAAAATTGAAGTATTCAGATTTATGCAAATAAATCATGTGTAAATGACAACTCCATCCAGTTCTAGCAGAAAAAGATGGAAGTTTTGAAGGAGTATCTGGAGTTTTATCGAATAATTTTCTATGGAGAACCTTTATAAAAGCTGAAAAATTCCAGTAAATTTATGGTACTTCATCATAATTTCAACATTCTGTTTCGTTTGAAGCTTCCGCAGTTGTTTCTACTACATCAAACACATACACACAAAATAAGTACAAGAAATCTCTATATAGCGCCTTCCTAAATAAATACTCGTGAATGAATTTTCTCCATAAACATTGAGTATTTTGCATTACTAAAATGATTCTCTAACTGGTGTGTGTCTGCGTGTACACTTCATTACTATCCTGGGTACTTCGGTTTAGCGCTACACTCAATATAAATGGTGGCACTAAATCGAAATACCGCTGTATATAACTAAATTACACTTTCAAAATATGATATTTTTTAATTATTTTTCCTTCTTAAACATCAACATCTATATTAATCTGTGCGTTAAAAATTCATATAATTATCACCGATGTGTTTATAAACACAGAAATTATCGAGTTGGCAGCATTTTTTTTCCTTATTCCTCCTCTCAATCCTCATTAAAGTCTCTCTTTTTTTTTAAAAAAAAAAAAAATTACCTACGAAGCTACGTATTTTCCCTAGAATTAATGAGGCATCGTATTCGACAAACAACGATCTTTCATCACGGAGGAAACGATAATCTGGATGTTTTCCTGAGAAAAACATTAATCAAAACACTAATAACTCCATCGACAGCGAACATTTCTTCTAGAAAAGTATCCACTCCGTTTCTGTAAAGGTTTTTTTATTATTTTAAAGTGTTACAAACTCGCTCTTCCTTTAAATTAAATGTTAAATAAACGATTTACCTCATTAACTCGTTCAACGTCAGGGATGGTTCGGTGTTCCATAGAGATACAATTATCCTGCAGGCGTGCATTCGAATTGACTCTACTTCCGATCGTAGTAGAATGTTAATCACCGGTTGTATACGTTGTACCTATAATAAAATGTTAAGCTGTTAAATGGGGGGGGGATTTCTACAAGATTCGTCTTTGTTTACATTCAGTTTTAGCCCGTTATACAATGGATTAAACTGTATATTTTATTTTTCCAGTATTTATAGATTATTTTGGCATATAATACATTAAAAAAAGTGAGAAAAACACTCACTAATAGAAGCGAACTGGGTGGAAATTCAGAAAAGTTTGCAAGTGTTCTTGCTATTTGTAACACAAGTTCTTTAGGTCCTTCGCTGTAATTTTCTAATAAATTAGCAACTTCTGTTAGATAAGATTGTAAAGCATTCTGCCAAAGATAATAAAATAATTCAATTTTTGTCATTAAATAAATAAATAAATGACTTTTTTAGCATACCTGATCACCTAGAATGGTTGCTAAATTGCCAATTAAACAGACTGTACTTTGGAGAAGTGACGTATTTTTTGTATCTCCTCTTAAGGCGTTTAGTATTGGATAACCATTGACTTGATCTTCCTGAAAAGAAGAAGAGAGAAGAAGGAAAAAAAAAACACGTAAAACTGAAATTAAAAATTGAAAAGTAACATGGATGACGTAATAATGTTGTAGATTGTTACGTAGTACTTAAATCTACAACTCTAATTGTTAAATCATACGTAACAATGCTTTGTTTTGTTTCAAATTTGTTGCATCTATGACGTAACAATATAGTAGTAGATTTAACTATTACGTCACAATTTTCAAAATTCAAATTAGATTTTTTAATTGTTACGTCATACAATTTTAATATTTTAACTGACGAATAGTGAGTTTTAAAAGAAAAATTTACTTGTATTAACCGGAGTCGTAAATTCTCTTGTCCAGTTGATAAATAAGCTAAAATCTTCATTAAAATTTCTTTTTTCTAAATAAATAAAAATCATCATCTATATAATTTATTATATTGTCATAATATAATGACGATTAACTTACTTGCAAATCATCGGTTTTAAGAGAATTTAAAATCTTGTATAATGCAGAAGGATTCTATTATTTAAAACAAAAGTAATGATAAAGTATTGTTGCCTATTTTATATATATATAAATTTTAAGTATTTATACCTGTAGAAGCATGGGATGAAGATCTGGATTTTCTGTAAGGCAACATATTATCCTAGCTGCTAATAGAGAGGTAGTGTCAGGATTCTCTAATAATTCTAACAACGGTTGTGTGGTGCCCTCTTGTAACACTAAAAGTAATCAACATTTATTATGTATCTACAGATAATGCATATAATAAAGTAAACAAAACACACCTGTTACTTTATCTTCGAAACATTTACAAAATAAAGCTAAGGCACTGAGAGAATTGTTTACTATTTTAACTTTATCTTGAGATGTTGCTAAGAAACTTAATAAAAAAATTAATTAATATTTTTATTATTATTTATTAATGTATAGGTGTATATAATTCTTACTGTTTTAAGGCTTTTATTGCACCCGATATCTTCAATAGAGGAATCAGAGCCATTTGTTGGGTTAATGTATTAAGTGATTGAGCTACAGCTTCCTGAGATAGATAGATAGATTAATTAATAATTAATTATAGAAAATATATAAGAAATGAAACTAAATTTTTCATACCTTAATTATGTCGTCGTCGTGAGCCGCTAGAAAAATTAACGTTTGTACACCTCCTGATTCTATCACCTGTGAAGATGATGTTCCATATACTAAAACGTAATTTACTACGTAAATAATGTACTCACTTGTACTAGATTATCAATGTTTTTCGTCATCGAATCCAAACCTATTGCAGCTTCCTGTTTGCATTTCTTCATATAAATAAATTTTAAAAATTACCCTCGGATATATTCTTCCAATAAGACTTAATTTATTTTAAAGATAATTAACTTACTGCTTGCTGTTCGCGTGATTTGGCAATTAATTCAGAAATAGGTCGACACGCTGTACATACTTTTTGCATTTCTTCTGTCCCAAATTGGGGTAGAGACACCTAAAAATATTAATATAATTCAATATAAAACTAGGCTAGAGATTCTTAAATATAATTCTAAGTGTAATTTATGAGTTTCTATATAAACTTAAACATTATTAATAATAGCTAAAACTCCTCCCCTAAACGTAGTTATAGTACGAATCCACCCTCTAAATATGGATATAGGGGAGGGGTTCATCATTATCTAAAGTTATATTTAGGAAGATGATATATAATTACGAACCCCACCCCTAAATATAGTTTAATAATCAGTAAATTCTAAATTTAGACGATAATTACTGAGTCCCCACGTATTTATGATCTGAATTGTAGTATAGTTACGAAATCATTCACCAAAAATACCCTTTTAAAATCCTAATTTTATATGAAGGATCCTTATTGTTTGCACACACGACAACATATGTTACATATAAACACGAGTGAAAATTAAAAGAGCGTGTATGTGTCATAGAGGAGGGGGGTGAAGTTTAGTGACATCACACATATAACACCTCCTCCCCCCTAACTTACCTTTTCGTAACAGCATTTATTACAAAATACACGTCCACAATTTCGACAGTGATGTTTCCGTTTAAACTGACTAAATTTTAGGTGACATAAATGACAATTTTGTGACTCTTCATCCGGGATCCATCTTCGTAAAGGAAAAACAAACAAAAATTACTAAGTTCAAAGGTCAAACGGAGGTGCTAGCTCAAGCTTTATATATATATAAATTTTAAGTATTTATACCTGTAGAAGCATGGGATGAAGATCTGGATTTTCTGTAAGGCAACATATTATCCTAGCTGCTAATAGAGACGTAGTGTCAGGATTCTCTAATAATTCTAACAACGGTTGTGTGGTGCCCTCTTGTAACACTAAAAGTAATCAACATTTATTATGTATCTACAGATAATGCATATAATAAAGTAAACAAAACACACCTGTTACTTTATCTTCGAAACATTTACAAAATAAAGCTAAGGCACTGAGAGAATTGTTTACTATTTTAACTTTATCTTGAGATGTTGCTAAGANAATAAATTAATTTTAATAATAATAATACGTATTTAGGTCAAAAAGTCACCAAAATTTTCCACGTTTGACCTTTGTTTACTATCGGAAATGTTACATAAATAATATTTTTATCGATAAATATATTATAGAATTTATTTTGTAAATTTCCCGATAGATGGCGCGACAAGAAAAAAGTATTTATTTTTTATATTTAATTTAAATATATGTATTATAATTGTAAAAATTCTTTAAACCGGTTTAAAATCATTTAAAATAAGGAGAGAGAGAGAGAGAGAGCTAAACAAAAAATATGCATTTAAATATTTTTAATTTACATTTCATGCAACATACTTTACAAATTTACAACCATTAAAAACATTTCGGTCTGTTTAAATAAATAAATCGTATGACAAAGCCAAAGTAATAACAATTTTATCATTTTTAAATGAAGGAAACAGAAAAAAATAAATAAAATTGTTCATTTCTTTCCAAAATTCGTCCCTTCTGACGTTGCAAAAGCTGGTCACGTGATCGAAATACAGCTAGAATCACGTGACTGTTAGTCACGTGACTAAAGTGGCATTAATGCAGCTGGATAAGCGCATATCAACGTGTTCTATCAATACATTTTTTAAAAATATATATTAAAAAACTCCACTTTTTCTGACATTTTTTAAATCTTTTTTTTAAGCTCTTAAAAGAATATTTATTTATCAAATTAAAATAATAATAATAATAATAATAACACGTGGAGTCATGATAAAGTTGTCTATTTCGTAACAATGACATTATATAACTTATATGTAATCCATTTCAACGAAATATACATGAATGTCACGTGCTACTTTCCGCTACAACAGCACGTGTCTAGTGTAATTTACATAAATGTTTATGTAGCACGTGGTTTTTTGAAACGGACAGATCACGTTACCGGAAACTTACAAAGAAAACAAAAAAAGACGTGACGTCGTATCGAATCACGTTATCAATATTTTAAATTATATTAGAAATTCCTTACTTTTATTATTATTATTATTTTTTTAATGTAAAATTTAATTTTTTAAATCGCATCCTTAAATACGACAACGTACAGACATACAGATTGACATCGTTATACGATTCTTGTGCTGTTTTTTTTTTTTAATATACTGTACTAAACATTTCTATTTAATTTGTTTTTTTTTTCTTACGTGATTGGCTCTAAATTATGCCACTTTGTTACAGTATTTCGAGGATTTGCAATCATTTCCTGCCATTGTAATAACTGTTCTCCTCGTGCGTATAAGAAGGGACCTAGTACGACTTTTCCTTGAGGATCATCTTTAACTAGAGGTGTTGGTCCGGCTATAACAACTGTTATAGTTAAATGACATGAATCGAAGTACTTTGCTGTGATTGCGAATGTGAATGTTTCATCAAAAATCACTTCTCCTCCCGGTAAGTTTAGGTGTTTTAGTGCCGTTTTCTTACTTTTTAGTATTTTCCTCCCGTGATGAAGTTGAACTTTAGCGTAGATTCCTGCATTAAATAAATAAACAAGTATTTAGAACAATTTTATGATTAAAAAAAAAAGTATGTTTTAGTTTAATTATATAATAGATTTAAGCTTATTTTTACAAGGGGAACGTTTACAAACCATATAACTGAAGGGGTAGGGGGTAAGTCAATGGCTACCACTACAAAGATGGGAGGAGGTAGAAGACATCACCGAACTTTGAACTCTTATAATTGTTATTTGTAACTGATCGTAGGGAGGTCTTTTTAGTGTGTTTATATGTCCATTTTTGTTTGTTCAGCGGGAGCTGTAAGAAAGCTTTCGCTATTCTTCCACCTGGTGTTCAAATTTGAAAATACGTAAGAATATTTGGGGGAAGGGGGTCCGGCTTCCTTAGTAGGGGTGACTTGCTTAGCTACAAAGGGTCACCAGAACGAAAAAAAGGGTCAAAATTTGTAAAATAAAGTGTTATGTGGTTTGTGAACGTTTCCAAAATTATGAAATTATTATCTATGTGCTAGATCTTGTTGAATGAGATATTCTACTTTTAAATAACCAACGAATTTATGGGAAATTACAATAAAATTCATTGGTTATTAGCATAAAGAAGCTATTATCTTTGATTTTTTTATTATTAAAATAATTTTAAAAACACATAAAGGAAATAAATTAATAAAAAAAATTCAAATAGTTTATAGATTAGGTATAAAAATATAGAGTAGTTCGCGTGCAGCGCCATCTGTTAGAAATTCTTGTAATTTTTTGAGTTTTAAATTTGAAAAAAATTAAAATTAGAAAAAGCATAATATGTTTTAAAATTAACTTAAATAATTAAAATAAATATTTTTTAATATAAAAAATTTACCTGCTTCGCTAGTATCAATTCCCCGAATATTTTTCAATCGGCATACTGTAATTTTTATTCTGCTATTAAATGGGTTACAAGACAACGAAACTTGTATTTCACCTAAAGAAGAAGGCTGAAAAACATTTAAAATACAATAAATACTTCAAAAAAATTAATTATTTAAACAAAATTTGAAAATAATTAATTTGCCACTTACTTGCGATGCAGATTCTAAATCTCTCCACAAGACGTCGTTAGTTGTCAAGTCGACACGTGACAAAGTTACAATCACGTGGCCGAGGCAGTGACGTACTCTACGTTTATCCACATCGTACACGGAAATTCTCAATGTTCTTTTGGTTAATTCATCTTTTTTCACCTAAATGTAATCATAAATTCATATATTCTAGGAAATTTCAATAAAATTTAATACGTAACATCCAATAACGGCCATCTTTAAATGGCGGCCATTTTTTTTATGTACCCCTCAGTTCGTTGTACAGAGGTTTGATTGTATTCGTAACAATGTTTGAGCTATTGGCCTTTTTAAATTGGTCATTTCTTGAGCATTGTAAGTTAAAAAATAGGAAGAAAAGTAAGACCACCAAAAAATACAATGGCCAATTAGGTTTTCTTAACTCTGATAGGTCCTGGTAGAACACCACGGCACAATTTAAGTCCTAATAAAATACAATGTATATGAATATACAATGCACTTGCATATGCCAGGGCCTGCCAGAGTATATGCACGTATGCCAGGTTCTTTCAGGGTATACGTATATATGTGGTAAGCTTCTATTATAGTCAATCCTTTCTATAATATACTGAAGATACAGTACAATATGAGCATTCAGGGGATTTTTATTACGAGATATTAGCACAAAAAAGATCATCATCTATGCTCGTATAATAGGTATAAAACAATGTTTTACAATTAATTTTTACGATAAAATTACATGAAATGAAATTTTCTTACCTGAAATGTAAATATTTCGTGAAATTTCGGCGCTAAAGTTCGTTTCCTCACTTTGGACTGCTGGAAATTTTCTTCGTCTGGTAATAGGTAAAGTTTTACGAAAGGATCACGTGGAGTATTATTTAACCCCCTACCTATCAATTATAATGTGAAGATTTACATTCTCATATTATACACGAATAAATCAACAAATAAAATAATCTAAAACTTAAATATAAATTATCAATACTTTATTTAAATCTCGATATAGCACCACCCTCGTTGAGCGCCCTTTGGTATCAACGAATTACGATTTTGCATTGCGAATTACCTTGTCATTAAACACACGACTTTCAGACACTAACTCAAACGTACTGTACTGTACGTGCACGCCCCCGAACTTAGGTCTATATAAAATTCTCATTATTTGAAGTACTGTACTTCTGTTTATCGCTACTCTGTATAGTGCCTCTGGAATTGGCAATAACTCAAGTTATTTCCAGTTATTTCCGAGAACTTTTAGTATACAGAATGGTCTTATTTCCTCCTCCTTCTTTACTTCTTTCAGTAACTACAATTATGGGCGGATCGCGGGAAGGCCCGTAGGATGCGGCTTCAACTTGCCTTCTGAGAGTTTCCCCGAATAAATACTGGTACCTCAAGTAGTAAAATAATAATTTGTAAGACACGTGTTCCAGAAAATTTCTGGATCCTCTATTGCCCATAACGTCTTATTTTTAGTATTGTTTAGTACTGACTTGTAAGAATCAGTACTTATTAGGCATAAATTCTAAATTAATATTCTTAGTTGAGTATTAAAAATGATATTCAACTTTAATTGTTTACTATATAAAGAAAACAACAGAACATATTAATGACATCACTCACGAAAACAACACGAAATAATAATACACATACACAATGTACTAAAAACCCAAGTACACACATGCAATACACAGACGTGCATAGAATAAAAAGACACACCTAAACCACAAACATAAAATTATACATTAAATTTACGTTTAATAAAATTAGTTCTATATTTTAATGGACAAACAACCAGACATTCAATAATTCTGAACGTAAAAAAAAAATGTTTTTTCAGAGGGAATTAGATTTTCTAAGAAACATAATTTAAAAATAAAAATTTAAATATTTAACGAAATTTTTTCCATTTTAAAGATTATCTTCACGAAACAATCCTCAATTATTGAAGGATTTGCTTTAAGTTACGAAACAAAATCGATAAAATGTAGTAAACACGTAGATTTTGTTTGTTTTTTATAAGATTATAAATATATATATATATAAATAATATCGATTAATGGAAATTATTCGAAAAATATTTATATTTTAGTGAATAATTTATGTTCAGTTCCATGAATTTTTCATCTTCTTCAACAGAAAAATGTACACTTAATGGAAGTTATATTTTGAGAAGTGAAGTAAACAGTTTCTGAATAAAATTTGAATTTTTAGTAGTTTGTTTAAGCCTTAGAATACTAAAAAAAAAAAAATAAAAATTTTCTACTTCTAAGAAAACAGTACTTCAAGACTGTTTATGGTAAGGAAACTTAGACCATGGGCAAAAACATGGCGTTGGCTCGAGGCATGATGTGTCTAATTAGGAGGATGCTGAGGATTTCGTAGAGGAGGACACAAAAATGAACTCGTGTTGAGCGTTAAAACGAGAAATATAAAGTATTTTTGATGTTTAAATGAAAAGAAGGTATAAGTATTGTTAAGAAGGTTGTGTAGAAGTACAGGAAAGCAAGGACATAGAGTACAAACTGAATGCTCAAGAATAGCTAAGGAGTGGATTATACATTTGTGGGTCTTGATTTACAATATGTAACAGCTACTAGTATACTATTGTACTACACCACACAATCATTAATACCATAAGATATGCAGATGACACAGTCCTGCTGGCAGAATCTCTTAATGGTCTTGCTAGACAGAATAGTGGAATTTAGTGAGAAATATAGTCTTACTTTCAATGTAAAGAAAACAAAATTTATGAAAATTACTAAGGATATCAGAAGTAACAATAATGAAGCTTTAGTTAAACCACTTAAAAGATAAACAAGATGAGAAAGTACACAGTACCCAAGTAGATATATCTTTGATGAGAAAGTACAAAGATATATCTGCTTGGGTACTGTGATCAATATAAACTTCTGATTGTTCAGAAGAAATAAGAGTGAGGATAGAAAAAGCAAGGGCTAATTTTTTCAAAATGAAGAAAGTATTTTCCAGTAAAGATTTAAACTTAAGTGAGGTGCTATATATTCAGTATACTCCTGTATGAAATAGAAGCCTGAACATTAAAGAAGACTTGAACTATGGATATACAGAAGAATATTAGAGAGGTTGCGGCCGACGTTTTCAACGCGAAAACGTGTACGTAGGACATTCAGCGCCGCCATCCTGTAAGCCTAGAAGTTTGACAATGGCGTTTAGAACGTCGAGCATGATTCCACTGACGTTCCAAACGCCATTGTCAAACTTCTAGGCTTACAGGATGGTGGCGCTTAACGTCCGACGTACACGTTTTCGCGTTGAAAACGTCGGCCGCAACCTCTCTATTGGTAATTTTATCCGTCCATGATAGTTTCAATGTGGAGGTACCAAGAAGATATAACATTGAACATGAAAAGAGGAAAAGTTCAGTACTTGGGCCATATCATAAGAGGAGAGAAATACAATCTATTGCAAGTGATATTTTAAGGAAAAATAAAAGGTAGAAGAAGTAGAGGAAGGAGAATATCATGGCTGAGCAATTTGAGATAATGGTATGACTGTAGTTTAGTTTCAGCCAACTTTTCAGAGCAGTAGTTTCAAAAGAGAAGATTGTCAATCATCATAGCTATCTTCGGAACGGTGATGGCACTTGAAATACTATACCATACTATATAGTACACTTTTAAAACTAACCGATTAGCCTCACTATAGTACACTAGTATGCAATAGCAGATACAAAAAGTAAAAAACAGGCCCTACGAAATTTTTTACTACCCGAGGTACCCGGATTTACTCGGGGGAAAAACGCAGAAGGGGTGCAACAGCGCAGTGTCCACCTCTTGGATCGAGGCCCATCATAGCATGAAGCCCTAAGCTTTAGCTTACAAAATTAAAATGGTATCTAAAGATATAATGATGATTTTAAATATTTAAAATATATTTCTGCTTCGTTATTTTAGAAATTTATTCAAGTGTTTCTTCATATTGAATTATGCCATTAAGTAAAAAGCTCCTAAAACTTTAATTTTCTTTAAAAAACACTTATTTTACAACTTGAAAAAGTAATTTAAAAAGAAAAATATTGATTTAAAATACAAGCAAACCTGTTAAATATTTAGCTCGAATGATGTTGACTTCTAATTGCTCCTCATCTTCTTTATACAGTAGAGTAAACCAAATCCTTCCATGAATGCAGGGGGGAATATTTGTATCTTCTTCATCAGAAACTCTAGGGGGGAAAATATAAAAACTTAATCTGCTTTAATATTTAACTTTCGTGCTATTCAATTGTTTTTGTATGTTTAATTAGCTTCGTATTATCCGAAAGAGTGGATAAAGTATTCCCTAGGCAACAAGTGACGATAGTACACGTCACAGTAGCCACTTCACAATCGTTCTCAGTATATTAAAGGTATATAATTACATCGTTTTTTTCGTCATAAATTCGAAGTGACGAGAACAAAATTATAATCGATACGATGCCAAAACTAAAAAGTTAAGAAGTGAAGCGCGACACATCTTGACACGTGCTAATTTTCTACAACAAATTAAATTAAAATTAACCTGTATAAATCCGGTTGAACGGTACCCAAATAGGTAGGTGAACCTATCGTGTGCCATCTGGAGAGTACAGGTCGGGGTTGAACACACTCAGAAGTCAATCTAGGATGAGAAGGTAAATCTAACGATGCCGACTGAACTAGCGTTGATCTTCTACTAGAAGGTGGACGATATAAGAAGAGAGGATCAGTAACATCTTCCGAACCGGAGGAGCTAAATGTGGGTGGAGAGTTTTGCACGGAGCTACGAAAAATTCAAAGCAAATAATTAGTTTCAATGGCATAATTTTAATTAATTTTATCAAAGTATTATCTCATTCATTAAGCAGGAAAGAGTGGATTTATCACTGGCGCCCACGTATAAAATGTGATTAGGGGGATGGAAGATGCTCAGTTCAAACTACCGTTGTGCGATACAGTAACAACGCCCACGTCTTTTCCCTGTTTATTGTCACAAGGTGACCTTAACTTGATTTTTTTAAGGTGGAAAGAATATTTGCTTTTATCACACACAATATATATATATATATATATATAGAACAGTAGAAACTCAATAATCCAAAACAGTTAAGAAAAACTAAAGGAACATAGAAGGTGTACCGTCATGTATTATTTTCCAAATGACTGCAGTATTAAACTGGGCTACTTCTCTGCAGTTATTTTAAATTAATTTATAAATAATTTGTCGCTAGAGACAGGCGTTAGGCACCATCTCTTATTAAATTTAATAAGAGGTGGCAACTAATGCCTGTCTGTAATGACAGTAACCCAGTTTAATATGGCAGTCATCTGGCATATTACTAATATATCAAGTTTTGTGATCTTTGTACCATTGTGAAACTAAATATGTATAACATTATGTTAAATTTTAAGTAAATTAATTTACTTTCAAAATGTAATAATTGCATTACAGTATTTATAGTTCACAAAATGTAAATGCACAGTGCTGAATGTACCCAACGTACAGTACAAAAACATAAGTTTCTAGATTATCTGAAAGACCATTCCCGTCAAGTTCGGATAATTGAGTTTCTACTAATATGTATATATATCAAGCTAATTTTAAATTGCTTAATTTTCTTGATATTTCATTACAGAGAATTTAAAAACATTTAAAGCTTAAAAATTGTTAATTATCAATTGTAAATAAAAAAAAAGTGTTATAAATTGATATTAGATGAGTTCATCAGAATGGAAAGTTTGTATTTGAAATGTTTGTATCTCAAATAGTTAAATTATGAATTTGTCTAAAAAAATTTTTTTTGTTAAAGGCTGTTGATACAACAGATTTATTTTTGTATAAAAAAAAATAATTTAAAAATTATTTTCAGTACATAAAGATATGGATCACCTCAAATATTTATAATATAATCTATATGATTTTTAAAGCATATATAGTATAT